TAACCTTCTGTTTAAGGGACGAGAGACACTAATCCACAGCCGCCCCGGTTAGAAATGGTTCTTGACAGTCAGCCATATAAGTGATTTATGTAACCTAGATATTTGCAGTATTTCTAAGCCTCTAGTTTGATTCATTTCCCTGTCCTGACCATATATTGTTGAAGCAGATTATAGATGTCCAGTTCTGACTTCAACGTTAATTGGATGATTTCTAGTCTGTTCACCTTCACACTGTTCTGAAGGCTTCTGCATTAATGACGTTAACAGAAATGCTGCATGTCTATTTATGGTGTTGAAATGAGCTTTAGACTGTAAACTGCACATTGTTGAAACATAATCTGCGTCAGACAGGATGTTGAATTTCAGACTATTAGCTATATAACTGTTCCCGACTTAAACCTCATCCTACACTCTTGTCTACACCTCTCACCAAAGGTTCAGCAGCTTTCAGGATCCTCCGCTCGTTTAGTGCCACATCATCGTAGGCTGACAGTAATTTGTGTCCCTGTACTCAGGTAAACAAAGGACGGGACACTGATATACACATTACACCCACATACACTCCTCTTTCAACTATTCCTCCCAATGGAACATCCATTACAGAAGTCAGAGCCGGTAAACATGGCTGCAGAGCGGAGAAGGCTTCACAACAAGTGTTCCAGAAAATCTCAATTACAGTCATTGACCAGATTTTATGTAGATGTTCCACCTGATCAGGCGTAAATGAGTATTAGGAGATGCATTAGCAAAAACGCAGCTTTTGAAGCCTGTCCCGCACTGCCTACACACACATCAGAATTCATAGCTTCATCTCAGCGTTCAGAGCAGCTTCATGATGGGTGTGTTTTCCCGTGTTGAAGCTTCTTACTGCCAATATCCACACAGTCCGTGTGCGCTGCGTTCCGTCAGTGTCATGGTTTTGCTCCATCGGATGGTGCGCACATTCCCCCACTGGGTCCATTTCTGGAGCGTGAGAGCAGCCATGAGCAGCTGCTGTACACACCTCACAGGAGACCTACAAGATCACGCAGGAATGAAGAGAAAACCTTGCAAACAACATTTTGCTTTGTCTTTTTGAGGATGATTTGTTGTTCGCCTGGAGCCTGTTATGACGTAATGTTGATAAAGTGTTGGAAAAGGACAATTAGGAGCTGAATAATGTGTTTTATTTTGAAATTGACCGGATTCTCTGTGCGTTTAATTGTCTGACTTCTTGTCCTGGTGGATCTATGATGTTCAGCTTGAGGTTGGTGGCTGCAGCAGGCTCTGTTGAAAATAGACCTGAAGGCGCTTGCTGTGGAAACAGGATCATTGAGTGGCAGAGATTTCCATTGTGTGGAAATTGGCAGTTATGGTCTTATTAAGTATGTCTGCTTTCTGTTCGTCTCACAGTAATGTAAACAAAGTAATCAATGCATCAACCGTAATAATACACAACCAATAAAACAAGAGGTACAACAGTAAGTAACTCAGGGGATACAAAATAAAAAGGCAAAGATCTCAAGAAAACAGCCTAAAATTACTTCTTGGGGTGTCGACTCTTTGGAGACCAACAACCAAGTGAGCAGGGGAAACTCCTTATATCTACAAGCATCCCAGCCCAGCTGATTATCATCACCCATCAGCTGAGGGAGAACATCACAGGTGCAGTCAATAACTTCTGAAGAAAAAGGAAACCTGTGACCTAGTTCCTTGGGATTCTGTTAGTAACAGTTACATGTACAGACCTCTTTATGTCAGATAGGAAAGTACAAGCGAAGGTCACAAAGTGAAAAGCTAGACATGCTGCATGAATGCCTCCACCGACAATCACTACTCCCACTAAATGACAGTGTCCCTGGGACTGGGAAGGGGGGAATATATTTGTATATAAAATATACTATAATGGCTTCAATTAGAGCAGAGAGGTCGCGTCTCAATCATCTACAGGAGGGACTCATTACTCGTGAATGTCTCCTCTCTCTTTCTCTGTCATTATCAGAGGATGCTTCACGTTCAATAACATCAGACAGACAAGAGAGTGAAGGTCCAACAGGGAGCTAATGGCTGTTTCATAATTAAGAATTTACCTGTATCACGATGCTGGGTTCACAATGTCATCTAATTTTTATGGAAGATATTAGATCAGAGTCAGTTTATAAATAAATATGATCAATTTATTTAAATTCTCTGAAAATAAAAATGCAAAAAATAATTTCTTATTTATCTTATCTATCTTGTTTTATTTTTAGAGCCTTGAGCTTTTCAACATGGAGCTGTTTTGCGTGCTGCATCATATTGGTTTTGTTTTTTGTGTCGTTCATCAGTCACTTGTAATATTTGCACTGTTTTTGTCTGGTCCGTTCACCTCGTTCTCAACCTCAAACTCTCTCTCCCGCCATGTCTGTACGCCTCTCTTCTTCAGCTGCTGGCGACCAACTCAAAGCCAAAAGCAGATAGCGTCCTGTGCTAGTTAGTTTTCTCTCATGGATTTGAATCGTCCCTTGTTTTCATTTAATTGTATCGCTGTGCATTGGTAAATCCCTTCTGTGAGGCATAAAAAGTGGTACAACTTCTGCATTAAACTCACACAATTGGGTTAGTTAGTGCTTACATATTTCCTTTCTATGTCAGATTGTGTGCTATACATTTTTGTGCTCGTGTCTGTGTATGCATGTGTGTGACTGTGTGTGTTTGTTGTCCAGTTGAAAATGCCAACCTGCCCTCATGGGACTGAAGTGGGAGAGAAGAGAAGATCGAACAAACACAAAAACTGTGGATGTGGACATTATTCCGACGTCCCCGTGTGTGTGTTTAAATCGCTGTGGGACTTTTTAGTGTTTTGGTGAGACAACATCATACATCACGGTGGTTTTTATAACCGGAGGAGCTGTCGGAAAAAAAAGAGCAACAGAAGGGGGGGAGGGGTAGGAGAGACAGGAAGAACGAAAAAGGAGAGGCCACTTGATATTTTTTAGTTCAACAGATGAAGAAAAAAAAATCCACTGTATTTACAGTTTCTGTGGTGGGGAATAAAACATGTTCTTCACATAAGAGCTTTTTGTTTTATCACTGCTGCTTTTGTTACTCACTAATCTGTTCTGATGATATCCTTCATTGTCATTAAGATTTTTAGCATGGATGTAGGTCATCACTATTGTCGCCCATATAGATGTAGAAGTGACGGCAGGACGTATGGGAAAACACCGACCGGCAATGTAACGATAAATGGATCAGTTGTAATTCTAACATACAATAAGTTCTCAATCAGTATATTTAAACGGACACAATACACGTGCCACATTTGGCTGTTACTAATCCTATGCAAGACCATAAGACAATTAAATTTAAGATTTTCAAACCAATTAAAGACTTTAAGGCCGTCATTTCAAAATATTAAATTCAAGACGTTTTAATTTACCCCCTTGATACCCTGCTTTAAGGAGAAAACAGAACGACAACAATAGAAGCTGAGGCCTGCAGAGAATACTGGAAACAATTCACCTTTGTTACCATCCAATGTTGAAGTATTTGGAAACCTTGGCCACTGGCAATGTCAAGTTGTCATAACAAAGACATCCTAAACAATGTAAGCTATTCATTAAAGGGGACATATTTGACCGACCACATTCACAAACATTAATAAAGCCTCCTTCATGTTAACGGCAGGTGGCATGGTGATGACAGTGTCATGGTCAGTCATATGCCTACCCCTTTAAATAAAGCATTACCTAATGTTTCACCTCTTTACAGACTTCCATTACAGAATTTACAATCTGCTATCTCAAACAACGATCCGGAGAACAAAAGGTCACTCACTTTGCCATTTAAGTTCTGTCTGTTAGGGTCATCTAGAAGGTGCTTCATGTCGACTGTTTGTCACCTACGCAAATCTTTATAAATTAAGCGAATGCTTCACCATCATCTTGCTTTTCGGCTCTGTCTTTGCATGTTTGAAGTGTCTGTTTCTGAACATTGAGGATGATGATTTAGCTGGAAAAGCATCAAGCAAGTAACGTCACAAGTGTCTGACCGGACGAACAATCAACTGACTCAGCTTAAGGTAAAGGGGCACAGGACTACCTTACAGGTATACAGCTGTTTGAACAATGCAGCCTGCGTAAAAAGTGTCGCCTCCTCAGCACCTCAGAGTCATAAAGTCATATCAACCATTAGAACATGAGTTGTAAAAAACAATGCCCTCCATTTTTTTTTATATCAAGCAATCAATATTTCCTGTCAAGAGAATAAATCAGCACCATCTAGTGGACTAAAATGTTTTCTTTTTTTTTTCTTTAATATTTTAAGATCAAAAAAGTTGTAATCATTGCAATTTTAAGTCCACTAAAAAGGTGTATGCACTGACCCAGCAGGTGTAGGCTTTTGCCTTGGTTGATATCATAAACTAAAATTTCCTCTCACATGTGCTTCAGTAATGGCCACTGACTCTCAACCGAAAAAATGTGCAAATAAAACCGAGGACGCAAAAAAAACGAAACAAACAAAAACTCAATTTTATCAAATTTTTCAGACGTCCACCTCCTCCCTGCGCTGTGTGTGCAGGACGCTGGTGATAAGCTGCAGCTTTGAGCCGACTGACAGAGTAAAGCATGAATGAAATGAAAATTGAATAATGTGCTCCGACTCTGTGTGTGTGTGTGTGCGCGTGTGTGTGTGTTGGGTGTTTATGGCTTAATACGCCTCTTCCTGGGAGTTCCACCAACTCCCTGTGCAACAAACGAGAGCCAACACGGTCCAAAGAGCTAAACTCAGCCAGGACCGAATGGGCTGTGAGCTATCACACACACACACACACACACACACACACACACACACACACACACACACACACACACACACACACACACACACACACACACACACACACACACACACACAGATACAAGCACACTGGCCTATTTGGCAGCTGAAGCTCACATACAGCCCTTGCAGCAGAAATAGCACATGTATGTGTGAGCGTGGGTGTGAGTGCATGTGTGTGTGCACTCATGCATCGTTACCTGTGTTGGCAGGTGTGAGCAAGGGGAGTCTTACGTCAAAGCATCAGAGTTGTTCAGGACCCAACACAGTGCTGAAAAGAAGAAAAAAAAAACACAACATTTTAGCAGGGAGTACTTTAGTTTTTACTTTGTGCAATTATTAGAGTTTAAACATGGTGGAATAATTTGCATATGTCTGATAAAATAAGTGCCCACAGCGGTGCTGTTATGTTTGGCCTGCATCTAGGCCAAATCATTTGAGCAACAATGTTCCCCTCCTCCTCGCTCTGCTGCACAAAGATTTATTCTACTTATCATGTCTGAAAAACTGCTGAACAAATGTAATAAAAAAAAATATATATCTGCAGACCGTAAATTCATGCAGAAGGGATGTTAGATTTTGCACTAAGACAAACAAAGCCATGTTTCTATCCAAGCTTTTCTTTTTTTTTTTATCAGAATGAACCCAGCTGCACAGAAGCTATAAAACTCAGCAAAACTTCTAAAATGTCAAAAAGAAATGTGATGAAATGTGAAGAGAACTCATGAAGTATCACAGCTGTGTGCAGAAGAATATGAAACTGGGCTGAAATGAAGCACCAGAGGACTGTTTGGATTCAAGCAGTATGGTTGTTACAATATCAGATGTTTTCTGCTTAAATATGATACCAGAGAAGAAATAAAACAATATAGATACCTGTTTGGATACCATGGCAACAAAAATACAAGTCTAAGGATACTGTTTTTTTTAGTCTTATAAATTACCTGTCTAAAGGCATTTCACATTTTCAAACTTTGTAGAGAATTTTGCGAGAACTGTCGCTGAAATCTTTCTGATCTGGTTGTTCACATTTTCACCTCACAGAGGGAGACGTTGCCTATAAGATGGGAGGGGGGCTGGGGGGGTCTCCTAGTGCATGACATGAGGTTAAAAAGAAACAAAGAAAGACGCAGAAGTGACGGACAGAGCAACTGATTTTTTGAAAGCTTCTGCCCTTTTCGATTATACCGATGATTAAAATAACAGAGGTTGCATTGTTGTAAAATGTGACATTGAAAAGTATTGAAAAATCTAAGATTTTGACGGATCTTTTTCCCAGAGCAGTCAGACACCATGAGGGGAGAATCACAAGCTTAAATAAGAAGACTGTTGTTGGCTCTGTCATCGTCTTGGTTTAGAAAACAGAAATCCGGTCTCATATGAACCAGGGGAGTAATAGATGTATTTTGTTTTCTGTTTGTCTGAACATTTCTCATGTTGGCTGAAATGCCCTTGATTGAGGAAGTCGACAAAATGAGGGTGATGAAGCAATCACGGTGTCCTTGTGACAGGTCTGAGAGTGGCTGCTGCTTTGAAATCATGAATCTGGCAAAATGAGGCATAAACAGAAGACACAACACTCTCACACGGAATAACAACAACAAAAAACAAATTATGTTTCAGTCCGGTGATTTTACCGAGTCACTGGACTGAAGCTAAAGGTTAATCAGATGTGGTGTAGCGGTGCAGGTTACTGGCTGCACAATGTTTTGGTGTCTCTCTGCCCGTTTTATGTAAAACTGGAGGAGAAACATTCAGTGCGTAGAAAAAGAGTCTCTCTTACTGAGTGGAGGCGATTGAAACATTTGAGTGGATGTGGTCTCTATGATCTCCCCTATGATCAGGGGAGTCCTTTTCTATCACATGGAGGATTCAAATTAGCACAGATGTTTGGATTAACTTCATTCGTTCTGATTTATTTTCCAAGGACAAGACATGAAAATAAACTATTATTGAGCATCGACATCATGAAAGAACCTGTTCCTGGAGAAAATACAAAGCCCAAGAGAGAGGACAAGGAAGAAGGCGATAATAAACAGGTTGTTATTTTTTCAGGTCAGGTTCTAAACTGGAAAACTGCAGCAGATAAATCACAGCACCACTCAGAAGATAAACATTTACTTTTGATAAACCTCTAACCTATATGAGGACTGTTCATTCACAGCTGGCTGAATGCAGACCTCCTCACAGCAGACTGGGGATGATACAGGACAGAGTCTGTATTCTGACTGACTTGAGCTCATCTGTAACATGAACACACACCACTTCTATGTGTATGTGTGGAAGAACCAAACTCTCTGGGCCTGATTTCCAAAAGGTTTGAACACCTAAACCTGTCCAGAGAGATGAAAACATACCGCCTTCACATGAAAGGGTTAAATGCTCCCCTAACTGGGCTGCAGAGCAAACAGCGTCTCTGTGCGTTGATGGTCGTTGCACTATTGTAAATCAGCCATTGAATATACATTTGGGGTAAAAGTGTACTTCTTTGTAAAAGAGACTCATTGCAAAGAAAACCTAATCCACCGAGAATGGTGCTAAAAGCCACATGCAGTTAGTGTGAAACATTTACTGTCTACTGAGAGTTGGTGGTAACTGCACCGCACTATTTATAAGGAATGTCACACGCAAACTTTCCACCAATGAGAACTCCCCTCTTCATGTTTTGAAAATAAATGATTTCTAAATAAATCTATAAATGTTACACTGCCATAACAGTTTTTTAAGAATCAGAGGTTAAATCAATCCTCGCCATGTGGACAGAATCGAGCTCTGTCGGGCTGAGAATGCGCAGAAGAGAGAGCAGAAGCTGACAGCTAACCCCCCACGTTCAGATGCAAAACAAGAACAAACTGCATGACACAGAACAATTCTATGGGCTTGTTTGCGCTATAAAATGATGAGCACAACATCATTTGTGAATTACGTCTTGAAAAGGTGCAGATACCAGGCGCAATTTCTGCCCAAGTTTTTGGAGATATTCTTAGTGAACACCCCTTTGGGATTTGTTTGTGCCAATGCCTGTTGTCTTCACCAAATACATTATATTCAAATTTGTTATAAGTGTAATTGAGACAGAAAGTGATGGAGTTTATAAAAATACAATAGATTCTTCTAGAAAATCAAATGCATCACAAAACTAGTTCCTAAGATTTAAATCAACGTAAGACAAAATCAAACTCGCTGAAAGTCACCACTTCAACAATCCCCTGCAACTTACACAGCCTCATCATGATGGTTTTAAGGATACTGATTTCCCAGTCAAATTTTTAGATATTATTGTGATGGTACTCTTTGGATTTGCATACCAATACAAATCAAATAATAAAATCTTGAAACCGAATACGTTCAGATTCTGATGGAAGTTGCCAAAGGAATCTTTGCTCTATGTGAGACCTTTTCAGTGTCTAAAATAGACACCGAAAAAAGAAAAACATAAACGTGAAAGGACTTTAAATCAACACTGTTTAAGCTAATATTCATCATGTGTAATTACTTTACATCTCTGGCACATAAAGGACAACAAACAGACTACATAAAGTTTGATGGTGAGACATAAGGCTGAGATTTAAAGGATAGAAATGTGCAGTATTCTTACAAATAAAAGGTTTTGACCTTTTGGTTTAAAATAAATATGTATCAGCTGAGGCTCTAATGAGTTTGCTAGAGCGTCCACCTTTGAGCAGACGCTAATGAGGCGCATTATTATGTACAGTAAAAACAGGCTCTCAGCTTCATAACAAGACACTTAGAGTCATAATGTGTTCTAGTGAAACATTAGGACATGAGGCAAGTACAGGCAAAGTCCTTGTGGTGACTGTATGCTGGGTACTCTCTCATTGGTCAGAGCCTCCAACACTACGGCAGTCCATCAGTTGAAGCCAGGAGGCTTTTTTTAAGCAATAAATTAAGAGATTTTCTTTGCATGTCCCTGAGATGTTAACACAAAAGGATGGACAGTCGGATGTAACGAAACACAATGTCTCCAGCATCCAAGAACAAAGTCACAATATGTGTCGTATCTTACCTCTGTATCGTGATACATATCGTATCGTGGGGTTGTGGGAAATACCCAGCCCGATTAAACAAACATGCAGAATATAGCCGTCTGTTTGCGTCTCTCTGTCCCCTCTTTTCAAACTGTTCCAAACTGAGAGAGTGCTGAAGTCATGACAAGGACACCGAGTGAACAAGTCAATGCCAGACCCCGAGTGCACCCGCTGGTCAGGAAACATCGTGGGTGTGTTTGATTGGGGTCACTTAGCTCGAAAGGGAAGTGCATTAAGTTGGTGATTAATTAAGGTAGATGCCACCTTTGTAAAAAAAAAAAAAAGCTGCTGCTTTTCTGAACCACAACCCATTCTTCTTCATTCATTTAATGCGTTAGTGTGCAGTTTTAATCCTGTTGTCTCCCTGCGTGCTCTGTCTCTTTGACCCCTGGACACTATGGCAGTATGTTTTTGTTTTTTTTAACCAAACAGCTCGGTGTCCTCCTGCATCCAGCTGGAGTCGGCGCTCTGCCCTCCTGTGGCTGCACACACTCTACCAGCAGCAGCAGCTTCTTCTCTGCTGCAGCATCTGAGGCCACTATCTGTTCATCCATTTTTCACATGGTTCATCCTTCTCTTGGTTGTTTTTCTTTAACTCAGATTGCTTCAAATGAAAGCACAGTGTCAATTTCAGCTAATCTTAGTTAAAATCTCACAATATCATTGCATGTTTGGCAACCATGGCAACAACAAAAAAAGTCCTGTAGTCACCAAATGTTGGCTAATTTCTTGTTTGACATCACTAAAAATTGCAAGCGATCTTCTTCACACTGTCTCAATTGCACAAATAAAATGGAAGAATTTTGGAACCGCAACACTGCTGATGTATTTTTATAGTTTAGACTCTTTCTCTCTCTGCAGCTTTAGGTTAAAAATACAGCTGACGAATTAAAGTTGTTCCCAAGCTTCTGCACTTTTTGATGCTTTCCATCAGTGAAATAATGGAGATCATTCGTGGTTTTTTTTTAAATTTTGTTTTGAAGATATTTTTTTTTCTTTTTGCCTTTATTAGATAGCACAGCTGAAGAGAGACAGGATGTGTTAGGAGGAGAGAGTGGGGGACGACATGCAGCAAAGGGCCTATAGGTCGGATTCGAACCCACGGCCGCTGGGCTGAAGGCTATTGCCTCCATACATGGGAGCACATCATACCTGCCTTTTGAGGAATTTATTTCTTTTGGTCAGTGAAAATTATACAAAAAATAAATAAATAAAAATTTGT